GACATGAACTTAGGCATGTTTTTCTTCCATGGAGAAGGAAACTGTGGCAAATGGGATTTGAGCAAGCAGAGGACCATTCCAGGGAACTTGCTTTAGTGCCATCAAGGCCACATTCCTTTGGTCATCAGACCAGTAGGTGACTTCTTTATTGGCATGCTCAACTCTGGAGCCCAGAAGGTGTGAATTTGAAGCACTTTCCCCCCTGCTGGGAGCCTGGCACAGAAAGTCTGGATTTCTTTTAAAGCTCTGTGGTGCCACGGGGATCTTCCAAGTGGTCCTTCTCTCCGCGGGGTGAAAGCTTGGGCCAGAGCAGTTGCTTGAAGGAGCCTTGGGAAGCGCCGGGGGGATACGGTGGCCGGCTGCCCGGCCTCTCGTTCTCGCCTCGGCGCTCTGGAAGTTGTGGGGTTCTCGGTGTGCTGCTCTCTGTGAGTCAGCTGCCCCAGGACCCGAGCTGGTTTCTTCCCTTCTGGCCAGGTCCCTGCTCACGGGGCGCGACTGCTCGTCAGAAACCTCTGTGGTCTGCGTTCTTGGGACGTAGAGGTGTGGGAACGGAGACTTCCTGGGTGTGTCTGGCTATGCCGGCTCTGGTGGATTAGTATCTGAGCTGTTCTTGGAAGCGTTTTGGGGTCTGGGGGGCAGGAAAATCTCGGGAGCTCTGTGTGTTGCTGCCCTGGAAACCTGTCAGCATCCCAAACCAGCTCCAGCCAGTCTCCGGGGCAGAGGCCCCAGGTGGGTGCACATGCGTGCGTTGCCCTCGTACAGGCGCTGGGTTGGCTGCTGGGTGCCCACTTTCCGTGCGTGCCTGTCCCAGAGAGGAGAGCGCCGTCATTGGCCACTGCAGGCCCAGGCCTGGCCGTGGCTCTGTTTTGCTGCTTTTCATGTTGTGAGGAGGATCTTCTTGGGAACAAATGACTCAGCAACCTGAATCTTGGAGACTGTGTGGCTCGAGTGTCTGTTCAGAAAGCAGCTAGATGTAGCTACCTACTCCCTACCACGCTGGGCCCGGGGTTTCCCTCTGGATTCACCAGGCTCTGGTTCGGTGTGGTTTTTCAAATTCCTGCGCTGATAGCAGGATCTCACTCGTGGGGTGAGCAGGCAATGTTTTAATTATGCTTTTTGTCCTTAGGAAATTCCAGGGAGAAAAAGGTCCTGGTTTGTAGCCAAAAAAAAAGCCAAAAACAACAACAGAAAGGAGCTACGGCTCTAATTCTGGACCTGTCTGTGGCGGAAAGAGTTAAAGGGACGGGGGTCTCAGGGTGAGGAGTGCTTGTTTCTGCTGGCTGGGAGAAGCCCCTGGGTCTCGAGAGAAGATGATGCAACGTTTAGCATGGGGCAGCCCTGTCTGGGCTCTGCGGGCTGCCACTCGAAGAGTTAAGCGAGTCTTGTGGCTGGGAAGCCCTCAGGGAACCGATGGGCCTGCAGGGACCCAGACCTCCGTGCCCCTGAGCAGTGAGGTGTGGGTGTGGGAGAAAGGGGGCTGCAAAGTGTGGCCGGGGAAGCAGAGTGTAGGCCCAACTTTTTTTTTTTTTTTTTTTTTGCCTTGTTTGACCAGCCTTGGCACTGCCCTCCGGCTCTCCAGGGGAAAAGCTGCAGTTCTGCTCTTGCAACACAAGGAGCAGACTGGAGAATTTAGATCTGCGTCACAGAGCTGAGAGAGAGAGAGAGAGTGAGAGAGCAAGCGAGCGAGCGAGCGAGCTCCGTGGATAGGTCTGCTAGCAACAGCCGTGCTGCAGCAGGGAGAGAGAGAAATCAAGAAACAAGTCATAGCAACACAGGGCACCAGGTTCTGCCAGCTCACTTGCCAAGCGTTCAGAAATCTGTCGGGGGCCGGAGGCCTCTGGGTAGCCTAGGCTAGGGCGATGACACGCAAGGTGGCGCGGGCGGTTCCCGCGGGGAGGAGGTGGGGGGGGCAGGGGTGGGAGCAAGAGGTTGCGGGGCGACGGTGGAAGGTTGAACGAGACCAAATTCTGGAACATTCGGGACTGCGGCACCTTACGGCCGGACCAAGATTCGGGTCTGCGCAGGCAGCGATGGGTGGTCCGACGGGCTTCAGGACTCAATGGCGTCATCCCCTTCTTCCCCCCACGTACGTATTTGCTGGGATCCGGGGCAATGTCTCTGCGTATGTGGGTGCTCTTTCTTTCTCGCTTTTTGCTGTTTTTTTTTTTCCCCTTGGAGGGAGGATTTTTTTTTTCTCACTTTAATTTCTTTTCCCTTCGTGTGTGTCAGCTGCTCAAGCCTGACCAGAGGTAGAGGAGCGAGAGGAGTGAACTGTCCCCTGGCTTCCCACCTGACCTCCTAGCCCTTGTCCCATTCCCTTCCAGTGGACAGACAGACCGACTGACTGACTGGCTTTCCGGGCTGCTGGGGTGTCAGCGTCCGTCTGTCTGTCTGCGCAGGTCTGACATGGAAGGCAGGGAGTGAGGAGGAGACGTGCTAACAGGAAGGCGAGAAGCAGGTTTTCTAGGGGTTCCCCTACTGGAATGTGTGGCCCTGGGCATGTGGGGCTGGCGGGGAGTGGGCGGCGGGCTGGGGTGTGGGCTGCGAGAAGTGGGGCAGAGCTGGGAGGTTTGTCACTGCGTAGTTGGGAAAAGTGGAGGCTGGTGACGCAGTCACTGTTGCATCTTGGTAGGAGCACTGTGGGGACAGGTAGTGAGGCTCCCGGGTCTGTGGGGCCGGCCGAGAGGGGCTGAGGATGAGCCGAGAAGGGACTAGCATTTAGAGATTAAATGTCATCCTCTTGGCGTTGGAAAGTTGTTTACCTTGCGCTCTCTGTGTCTCCATGTTGGCTCCCTTCCAGTTCACATGTGATGGCCTTCCCTGTACTGCTGCATCATTAACTAAGTGACTGAGCTGGCCTTCCATTGGCCAGGGGAGGGCTCTCACTCCAGACACCTCCTCTGATTGGTGGGTGGGCCGATGGCAGGTGAAAAGCTTTTTTTGATTGGCTGAGGACTGGGTATCAAATCTGAATTTGCATTTCACTTGCTTAAAGGGGAGGGGGGAGAAGCCCAGCAGCTTTCTAAAATCTCTTTAGGGGTGTGCGTAGGCTCCGGTGTCTATGCCTGCTTTTGACTGCCCAGTAGAAGCCTCTTCCTGGGCCTTTTAAAATTTCCTGCACTATGAGAAGAAGAGCTCAGGAGTCCCCAAACTTTTTTTATTTTTTATTTTTGGAGGGAGGAAGGTTGGGGGAGATGGGTGCACAGAGCGCTGGCCAAATTGGAAGGAGATGTTTGCCCTTTAGTTTGGTGTCGGAAGAGGGAATTTTCCAATCGGCCACACCTCAGTGTTGCGGCAAAATAATTCTTGGCTCCCCTGGAAACGCACGGCAAGGTAGGGCAGAGCTGCTGCTGCTGGTGCTGCCACCACCCCAGGCTTCCTGCTGCCTCTGGGCTGCTCCCCGGGGACGCGAGATTTGCATTGACGTCCGGGGCTGTCCAGAGGCCCTCAGGAGCCAGCCGTGAGATGAGCCCACTGTGGGGAGGACCTGCCTCCTGGAAGCTGCTGCTCCCTGGTGCCAGCAAAGGTGAGGACGGAGGCCGGCCCCGGGAACCTTGCTCGGGAGCTGCGTGTTTGGTGGGACTTTCCAGAAAAGCCAGTGGACGGCCAGAGGTTTGGAGGTCCCGGGTTAGAAAGGGTTGTAGTCTGGGGACAGAAGAGAGTGAGAGTGAAACTAGGGCAGCAGGCTGTTGGCTCTGCTTGGGGAGGGAGGCCTGAGAGGTCCAGGGTCCCCGCTCCCCATCCTGGCCTCCTTGCGGAGCCCTGTTTGTGGGGAAGGGGTTTCCCAAGCCCTGCAACGCGCGTTGCGCCCCCGCCCATGACTGCGCATCTGGGAGCGCAGTGCGCCCTGGGTCCCTGGCCCGGGACGAGCACCGCCCTTCTCGTTACATAACGGAGGGCATGGCGTGTGCCTTCTCGGCCCTTCCTTGCAACCCTACCTCCTGGATCCCCAGGGCCACAGAGCTGGGGGGTGGGGGTGGGGGGTCTGACTGAGGAGCAGTGAGGATTTCACTCCCTGGGAGGGCCGGCTCCTGTCCAGTGGGTGCCCGCAGCTTGGTTTGAGCAGGGGAATGGTTTGCTGTCCGGACTCAGGGCTCAGGATGCAGGATGCCCTTCCGAAGGCCCTGGGTCACCCATGGCCCCCCAGGGCCTCTCCGGGGGAGGGGCCGGCGCCATTCTTTTCCTGGCGTCCTTTCCGATTTTTGAAGGCAGGGCTCAGGGAAGAGGTGTGAGAGTTGGGAGAGTAAGGGCAGGTGTGAGGACCCAATGGGAGGAGCTGGCAGTCTCCGGAAGCCCCCAGGCCCCCGTGGCTGCCCCTTCCTCGTCTAGGTCCCTGGTCTTCCTGGGCTTCTCCATCGGCTGCCATTTTGGAGGCATTTCTGCTGGGCTTGGTGGCGTTGGTGTTTGTAGTCCTGCTGTGCCAGTTCCGCAGAGTGGGCGGGGGGCGGGGGCGCTGGTGGAGCGGGGGGCGCAGGCGCAGTGGCGGCTGCCGCAGTGGAGGTGGCCCCAGGGGCAGGACCGCCCAGTCCCACCCTCGGACGCAGCCCCGGGAGGGGGGTTCGGGTGAAGGCTTCTGCGTGGGGACCTCACCACCTTGGGGCCCCGGCTTGGCCGGAGCCTGGGCATTGTGTTTTCTGTGTCCCCGTCTGCCTGAGGCTGAGGGTATCGGGGGTAGATGGCTGCGTTGCGGGGAGGGTGGGGGCAGAGCATGACCCCCAGTGTCTGATGCGTCACACCTGCCTGAGGTCTGGGTCCCCCGAATGGGTTGTGTCTCCGGCTGCCTGCCCATACGAGCAGGCATGAGATTCTCAGCAGCATGTGGCGTTTCTTCCGAAGGTTCTGCCCTCTCGCCGTCTTCCTCCTGTGTGTGCCCCCCGTGCCCCCTGCCTGTGCCGTGGGTCCAGCTGTCATCCTCTGGTGAGGCTCCCCGCTGACTGCCCTCCTCCCCAGGCCCCTCTGCGTGCAGCGGCCATCTTGTCTTTCTTGCTCAGAGATGTAAAATGGTTTCTCCTCGTTCCCAGAATAAAATGCCTCCCCTTTGCACGAGGCTGGAGGCTGTCTGTCACCGGCCCTCACGCTCCTGCTCCAGGCAGCCTCGCTTGGTTTCCCTGAGTGGACCACGCGTTCCAACAAAACCAGGCTCCTGGCTTTTTCTTGTTTTTCCTGTGCCCCTGTGTTCAGCAGGGGTGGTCCCCTGCCATCTTGCCTCTGCACCCACCTGCGGCAGCCTCAGCACCTCCACTGCCCTCTCCCAAGACCCTGGCAGGGAGCAGCCCCCATACCCAGCCCTGCCCCTGGGCCAGACTCCCACACGCCCGTCCCCCTCGGGTGGGACTTTTTGTTGTGTCACGGTTCTTGTGGGGCATCGTCTACCACCTCTTGGGGTACGAGCTCCAAGAGAGAGGCTTAGGAAGGGAGGAGGAGCGCAAATACATATTTGGTGCCTGCTGTCTGCCAGATACCATGTTAGGCTCTCGTCGGAGAGTTCATGGCGTTCTTTCCCGTGGCTGGTAAGTGGCCGCTTGTGGTTGAGCCCCGGCCTCCCGCAACCTTTGCGTTTTTCTCTCTGCATCCTCAGTGTTTGCAAGATGCCTATGAGGAGGTGGCTCCCCGCTATGTGCCTATTTAAGGAGTTTGTAAGTCCCGTGTGGGAGCTGGGGGGCTGGTCTGCTTGTGTCCGTAGCTCTTCCTCCCGTGCCTACCTCTTTAACCTTCTCCTCTTCTTTGCGACCAGGCTCACTCAAGATGCTGGCTTGTTTGTAGCTGAGATTGAGGTATTAACAAGCTCCAGGTCTTCTGGTTGCCTTGCCCTAGAAGAGGTGGTGGAGGTGGGCTGGTTCCGGCTTCCTCAGAGCGCAGTGCCAGGGCAGGGAGCCGGGACCTCGGAGCTGCACAGACCTAGGTCTCGTCTCCTGCCTCTTGTTAACTCGGTGGTCTTAGACAAGCCGTTTGATTGCTCTACGTCTTCTAGTCCTTGGCTGGTGAGATGGAGCCACAGCAATCCGTACTGTGGGTATTCCTAGTAGATACCTCTGCAGCTCACTTCTCCTGCCTGGTGGCTTATCGGAGACCTAAAACATGGGTATGGAGGGTGGCTGGAGCAGAACCGGGGGGGCGGTAACCCGGGCAAGTGGGCACCTCGAGCCTGCGGGAGGTGGTGCCCCCACCCACCCACTGGTGCCGTGGAGTGGCGGGCGTCGCTGCGGTGGCAGAGTGAGGGTTAAGCAGCGAGCTCACAGCCTCTTGGTGCCAGGTTCGCTTCCCTCCCTCCCGCATCTCAGCAGTGGCTGCCTGCTTCCTGCCGCTCCGGTCCCGTGGGAGGGGAGGTGGGCACCCTGAAGCCCCTCGTCACCGATTCCGGGCCGCAGAGCGGAGAGTGACGACAGCCAGCCAGTCGTCAGTCGACGGCAGTGGGGACCCTGGTGACGGCTGCTTTGTTGTTTTTTTCCTCTTTGGAAGATGACTCAGTGTGTCGGGAGCCGGGAGATGGAGCTCGCAGCCGAGTGGCCAGGATGTTCTGTCAACATGAAAGCAGCAAAAACAGCTCAGCGGGGCGCTGAGCCGATCCTCTCTGCCCGGGGTCATTGTCAGGGAGGGCTGGGCAGAGGAGGCCAGCCCCGGGCACCAGGACGCGGGTGCCCGGGGTCATTGTCAGGGAGGGCTGGGCAGAGGAGGCCAGCCCCGGGCACCAGGACGCAGGCGACGCCAGGTAACTCGACAGGGCTCTACGAGCTCGCGGATTTTAGAGACTGGCGAGCAAATACAGCTGTTTGTGTTGTCAGTGAGCTTGGCAAACAGGGTCATTTTTTGAGCTCTTCTCCCTGGTCCCAAAAGACAGACATTTTCTCAGGGCCGGAAGGGAAACCTGCCGGGATTTCTCGCCATGGCTCTGTCTGTGGTGGTCTTGGTGGTCGACCCTTGCAGCGCAGGTGTGTGGCAGGCAGAGGAGGTGAGCTCCAGCCGTCCGGGACCCCAGGAACAAGTGCGGCTGCGGAGACATGGCGTCTTAGGCGGTCTCTGCCGGGCGGGCTTTACGTGAAGCTGTTGTGTCCCCTCGCCGGCCCTCAGCCGAGGGCAGCCTAGGCTCCCTGCCTGACTGTCCCAACCGAACCTGCTTCTTCGTCTTCCTCATTTCCTTCTTAGGTGCAACAGTGGACCTGGAGTCCTTGACCTTTTAGTGTTTTTGCGCATCATCATGGCGGCTCGGGTTCTAGACTCTTCTTGATTCTGCAGCATTGCGCCACGGGCGCGTGATTCCCCCGCGGCCCCGCCCGGCGGGCCCCGCCCTGCCCCGCCATGCCTTCTTGGGAGCAGGAGAGAAGATGCACCTACCTCCACAGCCACCACATCCTGGCCGGACCACCGTTCCCGGCCGGAGCACGCAGCGGAGGAGCACCTGTCTGCCTGGCCGGGTGCCCCTCCCCCCGTCTCCTCTCATGCTAGCCCTGACATTTGTCACCGGGCACCACCTCCTCTCCCCAGGGACCTCCCAGGGTGACTCACTTGGGATCTCTGGTAGGAGTGGCTCCTGGGCCCCGAGAACCCGAGGGGCCAGGGGGACATGACCGAGGTCACAGCCGAGAGTGGAGCACGGCAGGGGATGGGAGCCAGGCGTCCCCACCCAGAGTGCAAAGGCAGCCACAGCCCCTGCACGTCATGTCTTTTTGAGCCCGAGCGCACAGCAGCTTGACCTAAACAGATGGCGTCTATGTGGGCGTTGGGAACTTCAGTGTCTTGTAATTTCTTCATCGCAAAGCGCACACAGGATGAGCGTCCGGATTCTGTGCTCCACGGCTCTGTTTTTCTGAACGAGGTGATGGACAGCCCCTCCTTGGTCAGACCCTGTACCCACTGGCACTGGCCTTTCTCCAGGACGGTGGACCCCCGGGTCACTTCTGCCTGGCTGTGTCTTGCTTCTTTCGCTGCATGATGGACAGCAGCTTCGGGCCATGGCCCAGGGGCCGCGTATCAGGCCCAGAAGGGGTCCCGGCGAGGGCGAACGCAGTTTGCAGCTTGGTTGGCCCCATGAGCTGTACCACCCACCTCCCTTCTCTCGTCCCTGCAGAGCAGACAGGAGAGTGCGGCTGGCTGCATGAGTGGGTGACAACCTTTTGGCGACTCAGGCTCGGCTGAGGACGGTGCCAGGGTGCAGAAGAGAAGCCGTCGCGGTGCCGGATGGAGCGGCTCGCTCGCATTTATTTGGAACAGAGAAGGGAGACGCCTGGCAGCCCTGCTCTGCAGTAAGTGTTCCTCTGCATTCTTTTACATTCTTTTATTTCTTCGAACATCGGAAGTGGATGGATGTTTATTGAGCCCGGCCAGCTGTGCCTCCCTCCGTTCTCCTCCTGCGCCCCCCTCCTGCGGCCCTCCAGGAGAGAGGACTAGATTGATTTTCTGGTGCTACTGGAGAGCTGCAGAGGAGTCAGCATTCAGCCCCCACACATCCCTTCGTGTTGGGAGAAGCTGATTTTCCCAAAAACGGAGCCAACAGCTTGCGTCCCTCAGGGCACTGTGGGCCACGAGGACCCTGCGTGCTGCACAGCCCCCGGCCCAGAGGTGGGGCTCCCCGCTGGCTGACCGCGGGAGGATGGTCCTTGCCAGCACCTAGCATGGTTCTCTGCCAAGTTCTAGCTCCAAATCTCTAGGCTGGTAGGGAGCTAGACTATATATAGCATCGTGCTAAGCAATTCTTATCAGACGTGTCTGCCCTCCCCTGCGGGAGAGGAGCGCTTCTATCAGAGAACCCGAACCTAGAGAGAGTGAGCTGTCTCCGAGGGCCTCCGAGTCTGGGAAAGCGTGCGTGTGCGTGTGTGCGCCTCTCCCGGGGTCTCGGCTGCCAAGCTAACTTTTCTAGCCCCTGTTTCAGATGCTGATAGAGTCAAGGGTCCCGCTGGATGAGGGCGCTGGTGTGGGAGGGGGCCGGGAGGGGCTGAGGGGGTTCTCCAGAGACAGTGTGCCTCTGCAGGCACGGCTGCGCCCTGCGTCGGAGACCAGCCTCGGGCGTCTCTCCTCCGTTTCCTGCTGGCCTTGCCTTGCCCAAGGATGTCTTCTGACCTCGCTCTTCCTCCTTTCAGAGCTCTTGCGGTCCCTGCCTTCCTCCGCCACTTCCTTGAGGATATTTGAGGGCACACTCGGCCACTAGCGTCCGGGAGCTGGGCCTGCTCGGGGTTGCTGGGAGTGGAGCCGCCGGCTTGTGTGGCTCTGGGGCCCGCGTGCTGATTGATGTGACGTGATCCCATTCTTGTCAGTGAGTCAGCACCAGGCTGCTCGCTGGAAACCAGATGCAGCAGGAAAACAGAACCTCACGGCCTCCCTGCGTCCCAGGTGAGTCAAGTGTGACAGCCCTGGGGCCCTTTTGCGTGAAGGTCATCTCCCTTGCTGGGGTGAGGGGGATTATCCAACTTCTCCATTCACAATCTCCCAAACAATTGCTCTCTTCTTTCCACTCTCCACTCCTGGCTTTTCTGTGAATGGGGTTAGTAACCGGCAGAGGCTTGGGGGAAGGGCGGGCAGCTGAAGGCTCAGGGCTGCTGGGATGTGTGGGAGATGGTTGGGCAGCGCTGCTGGGTGTGGCACTGGCAGAGCGCGGGACCTCCCACAGTAAGCGAATGGAAACTGTCCTCAGCCCCCAGCGGCCAGCCGGAGACTCAGGGCTTAACCCCTGTGCGATCCTGGAAGCCTGCCTGGAACGCGGGCGCTCCCTTCCCTGTTCCGTCTCGCTGCGGCACCCTGTAGCCTCGATGGGTGGTAGGCTGGGGCTGTGGCCCGCAGTTCTGATGGGGCAGAGCAGGGAGCTCTGGGACGTCCCCCTATTTGTGGAGTTTCTTTTTTGAATAAGTCTCTTTGTCCAGGCTCTCACTGCCTTTGCCTTTAAAATGAGGTCTGGGCCCAGTAAAAGCCATCGCAAAGCATCTTTGGGCTGTTGGCCTAGAGAGATTTCTCTGTCTCCCTTGTTGCTGGTCCAGCTGATAGTGGTCGATGATTACAAGTGACCACGGCCAGCAGAGCTGGGGGAGGGGGGTCTGTCGTGGTGTGGACAACGTGGAAGGCCGGCGGTCGGCGTCACCGGGAGCTCTCCCCGCATTGGGAAGACGGCTGCAGCGTTCTTGGTCAGTAGGGCCAGTTGGAGTCAGCCGGCTGCACGGTGCTCTGGGGTCTGGAGAAGCAAGGATCTAGCCAGATGATTTTCCAAGGCACCCATGCTTGCCCACCTCCGGCTGCACTGTGGGCTGGCTCTCCTGGTCTCGCCCTCAGCCTTTCCTCTTCTCCCCATTTGACAGGAGTCTGAGTTGGCTGTGAGCAGCCTCTGAGATCCTGGCCGAGCAAGGACTCGGGACAGCTTGGAGGAGTCCAGTGTCTGTTCCTTCACGGAACCCGACCATCTCCGCTCCTCCCGCAGCCATGTGGCAAGAGGCGGCTGGGGTACTGGGGCTGGAGCAGGAACAAAGAGGAGCCGTGAGCTTGGGTGCAGGTGAAGGGAGCAAGCCAGGTCTCTCAGGATGTGCCGGATGGGGTCTGGCCGCCGCCTTGGCCCTCACACAGATGGCCTGTGCCCCGGCCTGGCTCCAGCTGAGCTCCGCTCCTCTTCACAGCCCCGTCCTTGGCCAGGTTGGGAAGACCAGGATAGGATGTGAAGGGGAGATTGGTTTTGCTGTCTTCTCCAGGGCGTGTTTCCAGAATCGGGGTTGGCGCTGCCCTGCTGGTTTTCCTATTTTTGTCCCTTGTCTAGTTCTTTGCACCCTGATCACCAGCCTGGCTCCTGCTGCCATGACACGGGGCATTGTGTGCTGCCAGTCAGGCGGGTAGGACAGGCGGCACCCCTGCCAGGGGGCCCTGGCATATCTGGCACTTTCTCTTTCACCTTTGAATCCTTGAGGCTTGGGAGCCAGGAGGCAGCGTGGGGCCGCTTCGCCTGGGATCCAGCACAGGTTAACCGAGCCCAGGTGGTGTGGCTTGGCTGGCATTGTGGGAGAGGGACCCTGATTGGTCAGCGCCTTCTCTGTTCCCCGGAAACCTGCTCTGGTCAGGCCTGTGAACCGTCTGATGCAGATCTCGGCTCTGTCCTCTGGCTTGAGTGCCTGTGACGCTGCAGCCGCGGCTTGAGCCGGGCCCTGTTCCTCAGCCTGGTCACTCCTCTGGGCCTGTGGCCTCCCTCTGAGATGTGTTAGGCATGCCACCCGGCCCTGTCTGCAGCAGGCCCTCCCTTTGCCCTGCCGTTCCGGTGCCTGGAGTGACTATGGGGCAAGCGTGCAGTGGGGTTGGACTCTGGCTGGCTCCTTCCACCAGAGCTGTTCGTGGGCTGCTAAAGCCAGAGAACAGCTCCAGGGCCCCACAGTCCATGCAGATTCCTGTGGGGCGGGGCTGGAGAGGGACAGGCAGGGAGGACTGGTGTGTGCTCGCGGCACAGGAGCAAGGCCTGGAGGACATGGAGGACCGTCCATGCAGCCAGGCCTGCCTGCTGTGGTCCCGGTTGAAGGGGGCGTCCCCTGTGAGGGCTTCGCATCTGAGTGCCTGGCACTGCAGGCAGTGTGGTGCCCAGATCAGGGTGTGTAATGAGGCATGAAGGCATGAGATGGACATCAGCGCTCTGGCCGTCCAGGACAGGGGAGGCTGACCTTTGCTAAGGACCTGCCCGCCCTTATCTGATTCTGTCCGCACAACAGCCGTATGACGTAGGAGTCGTTTCCCTTTTATGGTTAAAGCAAGCGTGATCATTTCGTGACTTAGCCAAGGTCACGCACTGGAGATTTCAATCCAGGCACTTTTGATTCCCAAACTATACTTTCTCTCCACCGTCTAGAGCTGAAGGCAGGCATTTGTGAGCCGAGATCCTCACAGCACCGATGCCAACTGGCGTGAAAGACAGACCCTCCTCCCCTCCCCCAGGTCGGGGAACTTTTTGGTTGCCGGGACGGCTATGCTGTGTTCTTTGGGGAAAGCAGGGCAGGGGACGCTCCCCCTTGGTATTGGGGGACCAGCAGAGCTGAGCAAGACAAGTTCATTCCTTCTGCTAATGTATCCAGGGCCTGTGCTGGGGCCGGCACAGAGCCCTCAGCAGGTGTTGCTCTAGCCTGTGGAGAGTCATAAGTAACTCCTCTGAAGAAGACTTTGTAAAAACGTATAAACCAGGCCTACCTGGAGACTGTGTGAAGACGAACGGACGGGGGGTCCGGGTGACAGCCAAGAGGGGTGCAGAGACTGAAGGGCCCCAGCTAGTGAGAGGCCACAGAGATGGAACCCCCATCCGGACAGTGGGCACGAACAAGGATCCAGACCCCCTCGTGTTTCCTAAGGATCAGGAAGGTCCACCCTCTGCTTGCGGGAACTCGGGTGAGCCTGGGTTGCGATGGGGTGACACCAAACCTCTGGTCACCAGCAGACCATTTCTTTCCCATTTGCCATGGCCGCCCTGGCTTCTCTGCCCCAGCTGGGTCACCGTGAGAACCTTCAGGTTAGGCCTTTGCCGGCTCACCAAATACGTGCCTGCGGGAGGCAGACTCAGGGCTCAGCCTTGCCTGCCCAGCGGGACACGCAGCTCCGCGAGCTGATGCCCGCGATAGGGAAGGGCTGGGTGTGGGGGTGAGAGGTCACTCTGCATCAGAGGCTCTGGGTGCTTTGCCCACATGGGGCTGCCACTGGATGGTACAGGAGACTGGGAGGACGTGTTTTCCATGTGTGCAGCGCCAGGGCCCAAGGCCTATTTCCTTGAGGGGACGGGCGGCCATCTCGGCCTGCGTCAGGCCACAGGATCCTCCCTCTGCGCATGTGGGGTGTCTGGCCTGCCTTGCCCACGGAACCTGCTGCCTGCTGCCTGCTGCCCGGGATCTGGGCCGGCACAAGGAGGAAGCAGTGAGGGTGAGGGGCTCGAGGAGGGGGCATCTGCATGGGGTCCCTGGTGGCTGGGAGGCCGCTCCCAGCGTGGCACAGTGAGCAGGGCTGCGGGCCAGGACTCGGGCAGGAGAGCTGTTGACTATTCAACTGTCCCGTTAGGCCCACCTTGTCATTTGGGCGTTGCCCATCTGGTCCCCCCTGGAACCCGTGAGGGCAGGTGCTGGTGCCCTCATCAGTGATGAGCCGGTCACAGTGTCCTGACTGCTTGTGCCAGCTTAGCTTGGCTCCCTCCCTGCCCCGCCCCGCCGACTCTGGGTGTCCTCTCCCGGTGGAGCAGGGACAGGAGTGGGGCCCTGGGGTCTGGGCAGTGTCCTCCCTCTCTGAGGACCCTTAGGTCCCTTGTTCTGTGCTTTGCGAGGGGAGGGAAGCCTTCAAATGCGTGGCTTCTCCTGTTCTCTGGCTCATTAGACTTGTTGGTGCTCTCTTGGGAGCTGGTCCCACTCCTTCACTGGGGAGAAGCCAGCCACCCACCACGTGTTCCTGGAGAAGTTTCCTTCATTTGGAAGCTTCTGGAACATCTGGCTGCGCTTCGGCATGCACGTACAGGCATGCTTGTGCTGAGCTCCGTCACTGGGAGTCCTCCTTGCTGAGGGTGCCCAGGCCAGGCCTTTTTGATCCAAGGTGGGGAGACTAGGTATCCTGGACAGGATCCCCCCAGTCCTGAAGCCGTGGTACCTGGCAGCCACGGGTGGAACAGCGTGAGGTGTGGGGGTGTGGGTGTCAGGGTGGAGAGCGGGGCAGGAGTGGGCCAGGGGAGGTGCACCAGTGTGGACATCAAACCTGGAACTGGCGTTTCCTTTTGCAGAGAGAACCTGTGGAAGCTGCTGCTGTTTGCATATAAAAAGAGAAAACAAGGTGTTCCTTCCAGGAAACACGGAGCTACTCCAGTCCTGTGTTTGTACCGTCACCACTGCCTGCCCTGCCTTACAGCACTAGGGACATTGACAGGCATTGGAGAGGTGAGTGTGAGTGTGTGTGTATGGTGTGTGTGTGTGTGTGTGAGAGAGAGAGAGAGAGAGAGAGAGAGAGATAGGAGGAGGCGGGGCCAGCTGTGGGTTGTGAGGGAGGAAGTGGGAGGTGGGAGAGGAGCGCCAGCCCTGGGAGCCCCAGGCTCTGCCTGCGATGGTGAAGGCACAGGCGCGTCTCTAGTGGCCACACGATTTGGAGGCAACCCAGAGTCTGAAATAAATTAGTTAATGGTGAAATGAGAGTTGTAGTAACTGTGGAAAATCATGCATCCTTTTGTGTTATTACCACCTGCACAGTTCCCAGCACAAGGCTGACGCCAGGGACCCTGGGCTGTCTCTTAACACGGGGTGTGGGTGGGGAGCATCCCCCCAACAGGCCGTCTAAGACCCCTGAAATCACTGGGTCTAGTCTGCAAGGCAACTGCAGGCAGGACTCGAGGTCCCATATAAACCTATCACAGGCTCGTTTTTAGGTTCGTCATTGCGTAAGGCCTGCAAATGATGTTATAAATGTCCAAATGGCCTTTGGCAGAAAAAAGCTTCCCTTCCCGCTGCTCACGTCAGCCTTGCCGGTGGCTGCTTCCTTTCCTGTTTGCCGCTCTGGTTTGTGAGGTATATGCGAATGTGAGTGCGTACACCCCTTGGCGTGGGGCAGGGGGTTGGGTCCAGGACATCCCTCCCCTGGTCTCCCCAGCCCTGGGTGCCAAGAGTCCCATACGCTTCTGTGAACACTGTGTAGTAGTTGCATATTACCCACATTCCTTCGCGTTCTTCCTATCATCTTTGGATTATGTGTAATACCTAGTATGGCGAAAAGGCCGCGTGGATAAGGAGCAGTCGTACTGCCTGAAGAATAGCAACATGGAGTAGAGCGTGCATGGGCAAGCAAGTTTAATACAAGTGTGTTGTCTGTGGCGGCTGAGGCCGGGAGCCCGCAGCGGGAGGGCCGACGGCCTGTCCCCTGCAGTTGGGGGCGTGCAGTTGCCCCATGGTCGCTGGAGGCCGTGAACACGTGGCCTTGATTCAGGTGTGTCAGCACGCCGCAGTCCTGGGTGGGAGGGAGCTGCCTGCAGAGCTCGTTCCCAGGAGTCCAGGACTGACGTGGCTTGGCCCGGGGCCTGAGTGGCCGAGACCTAGGGTGTCCTTGCCGGGACCGCCCCACCCCCCGTACTGTGTCGTCTGCCCAGAGCTTATCATCTGCTGCCGCTCCTCAGCTCGGACCCAAGCAGTGACCATGGCTCACCCTGCCAGAGGACGGGCACAGGCAGGGCGGAAGGGAACACAGGCTCCTGGCCGCTGGCCTCCCTCCAAGACAGGTGAACTTTGTGTTCAGAAAGGAACTTCTTTAATCTTTTGGCCTTTAATAGAAGTTATTTGTATTTTCTCTCCTTTATTTTCCCTCCTCTCTCTCTCCCTCCCTCCCTCCTTCCCCTTCCCCCCTCGCCACCCCCCCCCCCCCAGCCTCCGAAGAATTTAATCTGCTGGACAACAAACAATACTGTTATAAAACTTTGAAAACAAGAGGGCGAGGCCTCCCTGACAAGGAGAGGGGCATGCCGGGTAACGGCCCGGGGGAGCGTGCCAGCCCCGAGATGGAGCCGGGCAAGAGCCCAGTTGGCTGGGTACCTGGGCTCCTGCCCCTGCCCAGCCCACTCGCCATGCCGTCCCCCGTCCAGGAACCGAAAGGAAAGGGGGGCACAGAGGAGCTGGAAAAGGGAAGCTGTACGGGCTCTCCTGATCTGATGGGAACGCAGCAGACTGCAAACTTCCTCCTCCACCTTCCTCCCCTCCCTCTCGCCCTCCCCCTCCCCCCTCCTCCTCCTCTGGCTGCCTCCTGCTACTCACTGTTCTTGAGACTGGCCGGCAGAGGTCCTGATAACCTAAGGAGGCTGGGACAGCAGTGTTGTCAGCCCAGCAGAAGCCGGGAAGGAGGCAGGCCTGGGGCTGCCTGGCCCTCGGTGCGGCCTAGCTGCCAGCCCCCCCCCCCCCCAGCTAGGGAGGTGGAGCCACGTCACAGGGTGTGCCCTGGTGCGTGTGCTCTGCCAGGTGCGCACCTGCGCCACGAGGTGCATGGCTCTGCGCCGGCTTCCTGGTGCTGCCTCCTCCGGCCGAGCCGGGCCGGGATGTCTGGCTTGTAGACATGCTCTCCGCTCCGCCACACTGCTGCTCTCCGTCCCAGGAGGAGCGGAGGCTGTGCTGCACAGGCTGGGCGTGCCCCTGGAGTGGCTCCTGGGGACCAAAGCGAGCTTTTCCCAGCTGGCAGGTGCGTGGGCCTGTGACAGTGGCACCTGGTGGGACACCGTGCCTTAGTTACAGCGTGGCGGCTGGAGGAGGGAGCGACCCAGCCCTGCCTCGGGGGAGGGGTGGCAGGGGGCCTCTGGGCATCTCCCACTAGCCCTTCGGAGGTGGAGCCCTGTGAAGCTGAAGCTTCTCTTCTGGTGCACCTCCGCTAGCCGAGCAGGTGAATCGGGCGTGGCGAGGTGGCGCCCTTCCTTTGGGTTGCGTCGGGCAGGGCCTGGGAGCTGTGTGGGGGCGTTGTTTGTGTAGTGGGTTGTAGGCATGCTGACTTGTCCTTTCCCGGGGAGCGCTGGCTTCCTGGGCGGCAGCACAGGGCTGTGCCTGTCCTCTGTGAGAGCTGAGACCCCCGCTCTGTCTGGGAACATGGACACCAGGCTGTGGTCCTCCATCCCTGCTCCCTATGCCCGTCTCAGGCCAGGGCCGGCTGGCCACCGTGCCTTCCTCTCTGTCCGGCCAGCAGTCCCCACCCAGAACCTCCCCTGGGGAGTTTCCGAGATTTTGCTGATGGTGTCGAGGAAGGGACAGAAAACCTAGCTTGTTGGGAGTGCAGCTGCCTAGAAATGTAGGCCTGTGGAGCCCGGGGAGCTGATGCTGGGCGCATGGGTGCTTGGAAGGCTGTGACTTCTTGCCCTGTTACGCAAGGAGCCCAGAGGGGCTGGAGGATGTTACTGGGGTCCAGGGCCTGGGCCGAGCCGTGGTCAGGAGGCTGCTGGGATGGAAGCACCTGATGGAGATGGCCAGAGGCTGGGGGCCAGTCAGCGCTGGGCCCTTCCACGCACAGCCTTCAGTTTATCACTCTTTCCTCTGATTCATTAACCACCGCGAGCTGGCAGCAGGCCCCGCCCTGACAGCTAAAGACAGAATGTCCAGGACACTGGGCCTGGGCCGAGAGTGACAGGAAGCTGGGCCGGCCTTTCCGTCCCTGCAGACAATACCCCGGGACTGTCTGGAGGGCAGGTCGTTCCCCTTTTGCTAAAGGGCCTGCCCGGAGCCCCTCTCACCAAGACGAGCTCTTCCCCGCTGCCAGGAGCCCTGAAACCAGCATTCCCAGTGGCAAGAAGATGGAGGATCTGGCTCGGCTTCCGGCACCTCCCCCAGCCTGGCTGGAGCTCGCATCCGTCACGTAAGTAGCGGTGACTCAGCACCCAGCGCTGGGTCAGGAGGGAGACGCTGCTGCCTTGGCAGGAACCTTCCCACGTTCCGGATCGTGCACGCTGCGGCCGCGCAGAGCAGGCAAGCAGGACCTGGTTGCTGGGGGCCCGCATCTCTCTGCTCCGCGGGTTTTTGCTTTTGGTGGGGGGTGGCGTGGGAGAGGCATCTCGCAGATCAGGAACCCCTTTGCTTTCTGTGTTATTTTAGGAGCACCCTTCTGGGCCTAGGATGTGTAGGGCTCTGAGAGACATAGCCTGGCTCCAGTCAAGTAGAAGCTGCCTGTGCAATCTCCACCCCGTTTTCGGCCAAAGGCCCGTGAGTGGGATTTAACCCTTGGATGGGGCTTGCTTGGCCCGCGTGGCGCGTGTTTGCGTATCTGGTTTTGTGTGTCCTCAGACAAAACACGGCCTCCCCAGGCCACTGTGTGCTGCTGCTGTGGCTGCTGCCCAGTCCTCTGCCGAACACTGGGCTGAGTGGGACGGTCCACCCCGGCCTCGGCTCTGCAGACGGGTTCACCGAGGCCCATTCAGGGCAGGCAGCAGCTCCCTGCTCCCAGAGCTGGCGCCAGACGGTGTTGGAGCCACTGTGTGACCCTTTCTCTACCGCCAGGTCCCTGCCCAGGCAGAGGAGCGTCCTGCAGTGAGGGCGGGGAGGGGGGGAGCTGCTGAGCGCGGAGCCCATCGGGCTGGGGCTGGGGCTGGGGCTGGGGCTGGGGCTGGGGCAGGGGCAGCTCGCCAGGGGCTTTGCCCCCAGGCAATCTGTGGGCTGAAGTGGCAGAATCCAGTGGCTCTGAGCGGGCAGCGGGGCCCTCGGCAGGCTGTGTGTGCCGGGGCCACCTCCTGAGGGTTCTGGCTGGCCCTCGGGCTCCTTGCCTGGGACTGGCTGTCCCTTCCAGCAAGGCAGAAGTGCCACTCGCTCCAGGGCAGTCATCGCTGAGCTGCCTGTAGGAGGAGGGGCCCTTGGTTCTGTGGCGAGAGCTGAGACCGGCTGGCCCTTGGGAACTGAGTGGAGTCTGGGAGGGTAGGAGATTTCGGGGTGAAGATTGCTATGGCCCCTCCTTCCTGTAGAGCACCTACAGCCCGCATGCCAGTGGTTCCTTGGCGTGTCTTCAGGGAGCTGAGCGTTAGGTGGTAGCCCCAAGAGAGGGGAGCCAGGACTCGGGGCTCCGGTGCCTGCCTCTTAGTTCTTTCTCTTGTGGTGGGGGCCCCTTACTGTCTGTGCAGCTCCTCTGCTGGACTCGGGCTGGCGCTGGGCTTTGTGGGTAGCAGGAGCCACGTTACCTGACCACGGTAATCAGGCAGGGTAAGTGCTTTCTCAAGGACAGGGCACCCGAAGCCTCCCCCAAGCCAGGCAGGACTGGGACGCTTTCCTTGAGCTGAGGTGAGAAGCAGGATGGGGGCACGGGCGGGGGCCGCTGAGGGGCAGCAGCTAAGGGCGAGTGTGTGGAGAGCTGGGAGTGTTCCAGAGAGGGCACAGCACAGCCAGGTCTCCTGTGACGGCACAGGGAAGGGATTTGTGTTTCCTGGCGACAGGAGGTCGCCAAGGAAGACTGTGAGTGCCGAAGTGCAAAGCCGAAAAGCTGAGGACTCCCAGACGGGACCCGTGCACCCCGCATATCACAAGATTTGGACCCTTGCTGACAGCTCTCATTCCGCACACACGCCTGCCGTTAAACCCCTCACTGTTACCCGCTTCTCAGGGCCCAGATGCCATCACTCAGAGCCAAGGGCTGCAGTAGGACCCGCTGGGCAGGCTCCCCCACCCCACGCATCTCTGTGTCAGGCTGGGGAGGGGAGCAGAGTAGTGCCTCCGAGTCACCTGTCCCCTTGCGGGACCAGAGTCCTGCCCCATCACCCACCCACGGGTAGCGCGTTACCTGCGGGGCCTTCAAAAGGATTGCGAGCAACTAGAATAAAGAGGCACGTTTCTGTTTGCTGCGAAGAGGAGCCGAGAGAAGTCCGCGTGTGTTTTCTCACAGTATGCACTTTCCGTGACCCTTCTGAAGACCCCTCCTACGTAATCAGCACCATCCCGCCTCAGGACCCCGCCCCCCCAGAAATACCGCTGGGGCTCCCCTCCCTCTCCTGCTCATGATTAAGTCCAAGAACAAAATGTGAGGGCACTCCAGGCTGTAGGGCGGCCCCGGGGGGAAAGACGGGCAGACGTGGGACCTCATGTATGGGTCATGTGACTGCGGACTAGCACCTTAGCTTCGTAAAGATCAGCTTCTACTGAAAACAAAAAAACCAAAATGACCTCCGCTTTCTAGGACTGTTGTGAGAATGAAATAGCAGAATTCTTGAGGTCCACATTTTCTTTCTTTTCCTTAAAGCTACACTACCGTTAGTGCCAGGATCCAGGAAGACGACAAACCCAAATCTAAAGGTCTGAAGAACTGGCAGGGAACCCGAAAGGTACATCTGTACCCGTTTCTTCCTCTCGGTTATGGTATCAGAGGAAACACTTCACCAAACCAGAAGTGGTGATGCAAAGGAAGAAACTGATTTGAAGTTCAGTTTGCAAATCTTATTTTCAGGCAAATTTGAAAACAAAAACTTGATTCTTGTGTTAGAGGATTACCTACTTGGTGCAGTTACAGGAGGCGGGTTCTTAAATTCTCATCAGAGGCCACATCAGATTGTCAGTGAAGGGGTTCGTATTTGGATGTTCTGATCCTTGCATACGGGTGGGAGGGAGGAGCCGGTGTTCTTTCACAGCAGGGCACGTGAGGGTTGGCCTGGCCCGGGTGAGGCTCACCTTGGGCGTGGCTGCAGCCTCCTAGGCAGGTAGGGTGCCCAAGGAATGCCTTGCACGCTGGGAGATACCATACAGTATGGATGTGACAGTTAATGTATTTTGATACTAGCTTGGCTCCTTAGTTCTCGCGTGCCTGCTCACAGAATGTGTGCATTCGTGTTGCTCTCGTGTACTGGAGGCATCGGCCCTGACTGGCATGTTGCTTTGGGCACCGCTGGGCGGCCCCCCCGTGTCTTCTCTAAGAGGGCTTCGTGCCCCGTCGCAAGTGGAGCTGCAAGAAGATACTCCTCCTCGGGCTTCCGGTCGCATCTCCCTTCGGTCTGCGGTGACACCCTCTTCTTCTGGAAGCTGGTTTCACATGGTGGCTTAGATTTTTCCATCTTTGTATCTAGCACCATTTGAAATCAGTGTTTTAGGAGTAAGAATTGCAGCGCAGCAGGGCGTGGACGTCAAGGAACTGCTCTCATGGAACTGGCTCCTCTCCCCTGGCCACCTGAGCCTGCGCGAGAAGCCGGGGGAAGCACTTGAACAGCAGAGTCGCTCTGGAAAACGCTGCGTTGTTGGAGGGCTGCCGGTGGGAGGCTTGTGTGTAACGCGGTGGCTTGAGCAGGAGCAGAGGTTGCGACGCTCTTCCTGTTGACTGCTCACAGCCGGTGACGGCTGATGCGCTGGCAGGGCTCGGAGCTGCGATCATGTTAGCAGGTGCTGACGTATTGGGTATTGATTGTGACAGGCGAGGGGGAGGGCCGTGTGCTAGAGGGCTGTTCCGACCACACCAGCGCTGGCCGCCCGCCCCCAGAGGATGCCCCCGAGCGTTCAGCTGTGTTGCCGCGCAGCTGTCAGACTTGTCACCTGCGCACAGGTGCAGCCCTGGGAGCGCCACCGGCCCATCTCTTACACAGGCTGACCGATTTCTCCTGGTGTTCAGAGTCTGTTTTTGTCTAGCACCATTTGAAATCGGTTATGATGTAGGGGGAAAAGCAGCGACCTCCACGCCTCGTGCCACCGCCTGTGGTGTCCTGGAAGACGAACGGGCAGAGTGGGGAAGATCATCACACCTCCCCTCCTGACTTCTTTAACTGCATTTATGATAGCGTTATTGCAGAGGTAAGATGTAAAGTAATGGATCTGAAAGCAACAAATCACTGTAATTTATCTGATGCTCTCCGTTGTGTTTTCTGAAGTGCGGAACTGCTATAGATTGAATAAACTTGGTTGCTGTTGAATTATCTTTCTGTTAAGCCTGAGCCTATTCATACATCCTGACCTTAATAAATAATTTACTATATTCAATTTATTATGTCTGTGTTTTTCATCTATTATTTTCCATTCATAATTCCATGACGATGAGAAGTGGGTCCTGAAAAATTAATTCACTGTGCAGATCCTCCCTATGTTTGAAGCCCATTAAGACAAGGAATTCTACGAGCCAAGAAATAAAGTGAGAGAAGAGATGACGGAAGAGAAGCCATGCGGACAGGCTAGGTGGAGGGCGTTACTTACTAAAAGGGAGAACTGTCTTTGCTTCCAGAGGGGCTGCAAGACGCGGCCCTGTGCCAGTCAGTGTTCCTGCAAGAAACTTTTGCTAACTGAACATATTGTCAGAGGGTCCTCACAGGGGAGCGGCACTGATGTCATTTGCCTCACAGCAGATGGAGTTCTACTTTTGGCTGGGAGTTTATATCAACCCTTGAAAACAGGGTGAGCCAGTTTTGTAAAGCTATTCGGAGATGAGCCAGATTTGACTTGGTAGGGGATCCAGCTTGGAGAATCTTCAGAAAGGAAGGCTGTGGCCCCTCAGCGGGGGAGGGGGAGGCTTTGTCCACAGGAGGTGCATGGTCTACAGTGGACTACCTGCAGCACGATTATTTCATGCCAGTGGCTCTCAATAAAGGAAGGAAAGTCAGCCACCTGGGAAGCCTTTCCTAGGCCCCAGGCCCACCATTCTTCCCCCAGATGGCTGCTCTGCCCACGGGGCTGGGGCTGGGAGGCGGATGAGGCATTCACTGGGAAGACTTCCCAGGAATTGGGATGCAGCCCCTTGCCGCAGCTGCAGTGCTTGCAAGCTGTTTGTGGGAAAATCCACATTCCGGGCCTGGGGAGGATGGGGTGGTGGGAAGTTAGGACCCTAGCTTGTGTCGTAAGTGGGTTCATTCACCTCCCCACTGAGGTGGGCTACCCTAATCCCTGCAGGTGGGACAGTTTGGGCTCTGTTGCAAGAACACATTAAACAGATGCTGATTCATCGCCCCTGTCTGGGCTCCTCATTTGTTCCTGTTGCAAATACAAAGACGCCAGGAGTCTGCCCCCAGGTGATCCTAACTCTGGCCCTCAGATGAGCAGTAAGTGTGTCCTATTGAGTTTTTCATCACCACACACAAAAAACAATGATGTGGGACATCTTTGCCATAAATTAAGTTTACATGCTCCCAATGCCTGGTTAAATCATACGCAGCAGAATGTGGCTGGGGTAGCTCCCGAACAGGAATGTTTGGTTTTATCCATTTGGATGCTTACAGCCCTATGCCTGAAGTTATCCTGCTGAGGTTGGTTGGTTGGTTGGGGTGGTTTTTTTTTGTTTTTTTTTTTTTGTTTTTTTTTTTTTGATTTGGAAGGCAGAGTCACAGAGAGGGATGATGGATCTTCCAAACTGCTGGCTCACTCCCCAGATGGCTGCAACAGCCCTTACTGAACCAGGCTGAAGCCAGGAGCTCCATCTGGGTTTCCTGTGTGGTGGTAGGGGCCCATCTTCCACTGCCTTCCCAGGCACGTTAGCAGGGAGCAGAAAGGGAAGTGGGGCAATCAGGATTTGACCTGGCATTTGTATGGAGGCTGGCATCACATAGCGGCTTAACCCTCTGCACCACAACGCTGGCCCCATCTGTTTCTAAGTGGAGGAGACATACTAGGCTGAGACACACAGACACCTGGATTCGCTGGCAGTTTCCATCCGTGGAGACACATGCTGATGCGTGAGACCGCAGAAAGCTTTGCCTACTTGGGGTGAAACAGACAGGTCAAGTGTGCAGCCTGCTAATTCCCTGTGCGAGATCTTGACCCAGACCTTTATGAGGTGCCGACATAGGCGGTGTCTGTCTGTTGGGGGGGGGAGTTTAAGAGTTTAAACTGAGCACTAAAAAAGTTGAGTCTAATCCAGTAATGCCCCACCCTGGCTTCCTCTTGCATTCACCCAAGGAGCCTTTAAATTAGTCATTACTGGTCTCACCCCAGCTGGCCCTGGTTTGGTTGGTCTAGGAATGGGGCCTGGGCCTGTTTCCGTTCTACGGTTTCCCTAAGCAGGTATCACGGGGAGCCAGGGGCAGGAGCCACATGTCTGATATTTCTGAAAGTATGGGCTGAAGACTCTTCCTGTCACTGTGCTGTAACAAATGACCACACACTTAACTAAGATTTATTTGAAAGCAACACACACACATACACACACACACACACACACTGCTTCCCTTCACTGGTTCACTCCCCAGATGTCACCAGCCAAGTGTGGGCCATGCCAAAGCCAGGAACTGTATCCTGGTCTCCCATATGGGTGGCAGGGGCCCGAGCGCTTGAACCGTCGTCCACTCCCTCCCAGGCGTTAGCAGGAAACCGTATCAGAAGAGAAGTAGCCGGGACTTGAACCAGCACTCCAGTACTGGATGCCTATGTCTCAAGCAGTGGGACTTAATCAGCTGTGCCACAACACTGGCCCCCAAACCTAGGTCTAAGAACCACATTGTTTGCTGTCAACAGAGCTGGAGGCTGGAAGTCAGGAGTCAGTTTCCCTGGACTGAAATCAAGGTGTTGGCAGGGCCACGCTCCTTTGGATGTGTGAGTAGTTGTGTTGTTTCCAGCCTCTGGAGCGGCATCCGTTGGCTCACCCCTTCCTCCACATTCGAAGCCGGCAGCTTAGCCGTCTGCTCCAGCAGTCACATCGTCTACTGCAGTCAGATTCCCCCTCTGCCTGCCTTATACAGGGGCCACTCTGCTCCCATCCAGGGCCCCACCTGAGTAATCCCATCTCACAGTTCTTCCTCTCATCATCACAGACCCAGTTACTCTAGAAAGAAGTGTTCACAGACTCCAGGTATTAGTACCTGGACGCTTTGGAGGTCATTATACCCACAGCCTGCCACAAACAGCAACGCCAGGAGCCCATTAGGCGCCCCTCCTGGCACCCACTAAATCTGCATTTGCTCTCCAAGTGAGTCACCTACTACTAAAACTTGAGAAGATTGAGGTTATGGGCTCCTCCTCAAGGGATTCTGCAGTAATTGAGTCCTACCCTCAAATACAAACTTAAAGAGTATTTTTCTTAGGAGCCTTTTCAGATGGAGGTGTGTAATCGGATGACAGAATTTTCCCAAACCCACATCTGAGCATTAGTCATCCCCTGAATGCATGGTGAAGCTACCATCACAAAGCAGGGTGCCGGAGCCCGTTTCAGTAGTTCAGCCCGGAGTTTGCCACTGCCACGTGCCGTAATGGTTTGTTAGGAGATCCATAAGGGAAGCCAGTTACCAAGTGGCTTCTCACAGCAGTTCTACTATCTGTAGAGGGCTTTGCGCTACACGGTCGGGAAGCAGGGTTGCCCATCCATGTGGCAATATGTTCAGCTTCTGCTTGGTATGGAAACATAAGGGAAGGAAATATTTTGACCAGAGATCCCTAATATTATTCTCCCCGTTTTCAAGCAGAGTCGGACCCTTTAAAAATGTGTAAACCTTTTGGAAGACAACTTCTTAGACACGGATCCAAAGTGAAATTAAAAATGGCTCTGGGAATCGGCAGTAAGTGGACTTGGAATGATGGGTTTGTCGGTCGGGAAAGGGACTAGCAAGAGCCCCGCCAGTCCACAGGAGGGCAGCAGTGCTGCGCCTTAGCGAGGCTCCCACGTCAGCTTGCTGGGTCCTTTCCTGAAGGTACCCAGGAATTCTGAGGATAGCAGTGCAACTGGGGAGGGGAGATCCATCTGTCCAGTCACTCAGTTTTTTCTGTAAGTCAACAGATTGTGCAAACCTGCTCTTGAGTATAGGTATACGAATTTTGTAAATGCATAAATAGCTCATTGCTGGTTAAAATGTTATCTGTTGGGCATTGCTAAGTTGAAGAATATCACAGAGTTGATGACTTCAAGAAGCAAATGTGACTTTTTTAAAAAAAGATTATTTGAAAGAGATCTTCCATCTCCTGGTTCACTTCCCCAAATGGCTACAATGGCTGGAGCTGGGTCAGTCCAAAGTCAAGCCAGGAGCTTCTTCCGGGTCTCCCATGTGGATGCCGGGGTCCAAGCACTTGGGCCATCTTTAACTGTTTTTCCAACCCATCAGCAGGGAGCTGGATCGGAAGTGGAACAGGTGGGACTTGAATCAGCCTGGGATGCCGGCACTGCAGACGGCAGCTTAACCTGCTGCTCTACAGTGCTAGCCCCAGCAAACATGAATTTTCTTCAATCTTAGGTCTCAAGCATTCTTGCAGAAGACTGCCTTAGTTACCTTAAAAACTTAAAATCTCTCTCTGTATATATTATATGTTATGCCAACTTTAAAAATATACTGTAGCCTCAGAGTAAAGTAAAAATTTTCTAAAATGCTTTATTTGTAGTCAATAAGATGTCCATGCAGTGTTGATAGGAAGCAGGGAGGTCACTTTTGTTTTTTTTTGTTTTTTTGTTTGTTTGTTTGGTTGGTTGGTTTTTTTTGACAGGCAGAGTTAGTGAGAGGGAGAGACAGAGAGAAAGGTCTTCCTTTTCCGTTGGTTCACCTCCCAAATGGCCGCTACAGCCATCGTGCTGCGCAGATCCGAAGCCAGGAGCCAGGTGCCTCCTCCTGGTCTCCCATGCAGGTGCAGGGCCCAAGCACTTGGGCCATCCTCCACTGCCTTCCCAGGCCACAGCAGAGAGCTGGCCTGGAAGAGGAGCAACCGGGACAGAATCTGGTGCCCCTACTGGGACTAGAACCCGGGGTACCAGCGCCGCAGGTGGAAGATTAGTGAGCTGCGGCACCAGCCTCGCTTTTGTATTTTTAAACCACAGATAACCTTGTTCACATAGCCAGGCAACAAGGTCTTAATTGAAGTCTTTGAAATTTCAGTTTCTTGAATAGGCTGAATTAAAAATAGTACATTTGTGTTTGCCTTTCTCCTGTGTGAGTTTCTATGGAGAAACTGTGCGGATTGGGAATCATGGTTGTGGATGGAGAGTCTCCATCTCAGCTGCACATCAGAATCGCGTGGGACACCTTTAAAAATCCCATTCCCATGCCACATCCCAGATCGGTGACCCGAAACCTCCCTGGGGGT